CCTGTCTCTCTCTCATCCCCATTTTCTTTCACTCTTTCCTTACATCCTTCCTTCCTTCCCTCCTTTGGTCCTTCCTTCCTTCCAGAGACAGACGTGCTCTGACTGCGTGTTAAATAAAGTTTTGTGGTGTTGAATGAAGGTTGGTTGCCGTGTCAGAGGTAACCATGTGACTGCTGAGCTTCATCGGGACTCCATGTTTGATCTGTGGGGGGGTTGAAACCACGTTCGTGTAGTGAGGACCTTCCTGCCTCTGCTGTGTCCTCACCGCCTGCTTTAAATGTTTTTGTGTCTCCTTTGCATGTCTGATGTTTCGCCGCCGTCCTCAGTCGACCTCTTCCTCATGTACTCTGTGGTCAAACGGCTCGGGGGCTACAAAAAGGTGAGTCACCAGTTTATTTCAGTTTCTCTAAAATAGTAAGAGCTGCTGATTTGCTGCACGACTCTGTTATTAAAAACTTTTCAGGTTTTCTGTGACGAAGGTTTAAATAAAGTTTGAACATGTTTCAGCTCAGAGTTTGTTTCACGTGAGATTAAATCGAACCTGTGAGGCACGTCTGAGTGTGACTGTGTGTTTGGTTTAATCCCGGAGGATGAGGTCAGATTATAAATCAGCCTGCAGGGATTTATTTTAAAGTGAAATCATGAAGTTTTTGTGCTAATCCTCGTTAGCTCTGTCTCCGTCCCTGCTGAGAAAACTGCAAACGCTGATTTGAGTCTGCTGACAGCAGGCCGCTCGCTCGAGGCGTTTCGTAGCTCATTTAGATGACGCGCATGCGTCCTGGGACTCGAGGCCGAGCGGTCTTTCCTGTCCGACCGCTTTAAATTCCCCTGTGGGGTGGATGCGCTGACGGTGCTTCATGGTGTAAATTGATCAGACGGTTTCTGCGGCCGCTCCCTCAATAAAGTGAAACTGAAACCGGCGACGCCGAACGTGTTTGCAGCCAAACTAAAACGTTATCGTCCACATTTAAACCTGAAGAGTTGAAACATGCAGTAACTGCCAGACTGGAGTTTTTATTGTAAATATAATTAAATATTCATTTGCACAGATGAGTTTTCATTTGTCTCACAGTGTCGTTGCACGTCTGCACGTCAGGATTAACACACAGACGATGGAGAAAAATAAAAACTGATCCACTGATTGACTTTGTCCTCATGTTTGCGTCTGTTTGGCCTCGTCTCCATTGGTCGCAGAGACGTCACCTTTTTGTCACGCTGCTGTTTTTAACACAAACGTGGAGATTAATGAAGCGTCTGAAGCTCTGAAGTGCCAGAGCTCAAGATCAGGATCAGATCATCTCTGCAGATATATCATCAGTTTTTATTCGTCTAAAATTATCACCAAAAAAAAGTGCATTGATTTTTATAATTAACACGTTATGGCGCTGCATGTCTGTGGAAGAGAGCCGGAGATTAATAATAACAATGATTACATGCAGAGAGGTGTAGAAACACACAGTGACCGCAGAAGAAACACCCAGTGCATCATGGGAATCCCCAGCAGCCTATTGCAGCATAACTAAGGGAGGATTCAGGGTCACCTGGTCCAGCCCTAACTATATGCTTTAGCAAAAAGGAAAGTTTGAAGCCTAATCTTGAAAGTAGAGATAGTGTCTGTCTCCTGAATCCAAACTGGAAGCTGGTTCCACAGAAGAGTCTTTGTAGATGAAACCACTGCCAACAAAATTAAAAGTATAAATCAGTCGTCACCCTTTCCAAATGGTTGATGTAGTTACACGTGTCTAAACAGTAGGGGGAACTAAAACTGATGTAAACCAGGATTTAGGTCAAGTTTTCCTCTCAAAGTCGACTCTGATACTTCGACTCTGAAGAATCGGAGGCGGCTCGACCTCTTCCAGGATCAAAAGGCAGCTGATGGAGATGCCCAGGTATTCAGCCTGCAGTGGGGTGAAGACCTTAGAGTTGGTGCATGGTCTCCACTGCAGGCTGAATACCTGGGTCTCCAGTTAAACTATCATGATCCGGTCACCACAGTCCGTTGAGGGTTACTCCTCGTTATCTGACTTTCTGCTTGTTTTCGTGCGGCAGGTGACGACAGACCGTCTGTGGAAAGTGGTTTACAACGAGCTGGGCGGATGCCCCGGCAGCACCAGCGCTGCGACCTGCACCAGGAGACACTACGAGAGGTGAGACAGACATCATCTGTGACTGCGCTCACCGAGCGTTTCAGACCGTTTTACACTCAAACGTGAGCAAAGGGAAGTGACGAGGGTCTGGAAGCAGAGAGGAAAACCAGCCAGAGGGTTTCGTACCTTCATCCAGCAGGTCAGAGGTCAGCGCTGGATGAAGCGGTCATGAGTGTTAGAGAGCAGGAAAGCTCCCTGTACCTGAGTAGACCATGGCTCTTTAATATCCTGACAGATGTAGTGGAAGTACTGACAACTAAACCCTTGACCTTTGACCTGTAACTAAAAGGGTCCACATGCTAAAGTTCAGGTTTCTGTGTCTCAGGCTGATGCTTCCTTATGAAGAACACCTCAGAGCGGGCGGAGCAGAGTTTAAAGTCCCAGAATCCCCGGTGGTGCCGAAGCCCAGAGGCATCAGAGGCAGGAGACCGCATCCCAGAGGCAAAAAGCCGGGACCCAGACCCCGGGAGAGGAAGGTGGCCACACCCCCTGCTGCTGCCACCATACGTGATGACGTGAGTTTACAGCTTTGTTTTCATCTGTTACTAACACTGCTGAACGCTGATGCTCTGTAACAGATGGTCGGGTGATGCTGCGATGGGGGGACGCTGACGGTGCCGCCTCGGGGCGGGCGGTAGAAACGGTATAAATTTATACCACTCTACCGCGATAGCGCGTGTTGATGGTGTCATCAAGCTGCGCCTGTGTTGGTCGAAAGCATCGCAGCTGCAAATTATGGCGGCAGTCACAGCAAAGAGATGAAGCACTTTTGGAACATGGGGAAAGTCAAAAACTGCACTTCCTTCACTTCTGTACCGTTGATGCATTAATGCTGAATTCTCTGCAGCTGCTCTGTTCCCATGTTGTTGCAGCATATTAATGACTAACCTTTCATCGAGTGGGAAAAAAGTTGGCGTTCATCCTCCAGCTTCACTGTTTATGCTATGCTAACATAGCTGTGTTGCTAGCACGTAGCACATCATTACCAGCTAGCCCGACTTCAGTAACCCTGCAAACGTCACTGCTTTGATTGGCTTAGTCGTTTCACCTGCAGCCTCTCTTGCCTCTGAACAGGTCCCAAACCCGAACGGCACCATGGTGGCAAAGAGAGGCAGAGGCCGGCCGCCGGGCACGCGAAACAAGGCCACGGTGCTCGCTCAGGCAAAGCTGCTGGCACTGCAGCAGGCGAAGGTCAAAGGCAGCGCGGTGGAGATGACGCAGCAACAGCTTCCAGCCGTGGGCCGCGGAGGAACTGCTGCCAGCATGCACAGGGTAACGACCTCGAAACACTCGTACACGCCTCTGAGGTTTGATTCGACTGCGTGTGATTCATTTCCTTCTCTGCTCCCTGCAGCCGGCCATCCTGCCCATCACCATGCCCCTCACCCCGGACCTCGCCCCCCTCGCCGGCCCCTTCATCTCTTTCCAGCCCAAACCGAAGGAGGTGAAGACGGAGCGAGGGGAGTCTGTGGTTCCCGCCACGGGCGTGCTCCTCTCCGCGCTGCCGCGCCACTTCATCGGCAGCTCTCTGAGCGGCTTCAGCCCCATCAAAGGCTTGTGTCCTTCGGACGTGTTCAGGAGCCGGCTGGGCCTGCAGAGGGCCGAGAGCCCCGCCCTGACGCCCCAGGACCCGAGCCAGCACCATCCCACCATCTACGCCCCCCAGCCGAAGAGCGGGAGCCCAGACACCCCGCACCCGAGCGGGGAGCAGCCACAGCCCCACCCCCTCCAGCAGCACCACACCCATTGCTCAGGGTGTAACATGGACGAGGGGGGGCCGCGAGGAGGCGGGCGAGAGGCTAGAACCCGGCCCCCCATGCCCCCCCTCCGAGTCCTTCCCGTGAACCTCGACTGCAGCGTTCAGGTGTGTCAGCTGATGAGGACTCGTTGCTTGGGCCCGTCCCAGCTGCAGATGTTCACGCGCTGCCTGTCCGAGGCGCTCTCCCAGGACCTGAACGCCAAGCCCGCCCCTCCCCCCGAGCAGGCGCTGCCCCTCAACCTCAGCAAACGGTTCACGCCGAAGAGACCCGCCGCGGAAGGGCCGGAGCCGAGCCGGGCCGTCGTCAACGGGAACGCCGACCAGCTGCCGGCCAAGAGAGCGAGGACCGGCTTCACAGAGCCAGCTGAGGAAACGCGCTCCAGCTCCGCAGGAAGTGCAGCAGGAGGCGCGGCGGCGGTGGGAGGAGGAGGGCAGGTAGAGGTGGAGATGAAGAACCAGGATGAACCCGCAGATCTGAGCTCACCCAGCAGGATCAGGGCCTTCCTGCTCGGCCTGCCGCCCTTCAAAGTCAAACTGGAGGAGGATCTGAACGGCGTGCGGTTCGGGAAGTTCGTCCCTAAAGTCGAGAGCGGAGAGGATCCGCTAAAAGATGTGAAGAAGGAGGATGAGGAGGAGGTGGCAGTAGAAAAGATGGCGATGGAAGGGAGAGACTGCGGCGACTGCTCCAGCCGCGGCGCCGCCAATGCTGACACGCAGTGTTTTTAACCCCCGCCGCTTTGATTTGTTGGAAGATCACGTCAGCGCCTGAACCCACGGGAGCGCCGAGCTTTCGTTTCTCCATCTTCACCGTTTTAGTTTTTTTCCACTCACGTCGTCGGACGAACTCTGCGGAGGAACGGCGGCTCATGACAATCACGCATCTCACCGGAGACGAGACTCGGACACGCAGTGCCATAACCTCCATAACACTACGATTAACTCCGCCGCCACAAAGTCAGACTCAGTGTCCATCTATGGGTGATGCTATGCATCGGGACTTCATTAACTAGCATTAAGAGTGTACTGTAGTTTGTAGCTTTGAAATCGTTCTCTACGTCTGTAGAGACAGAGTTATTTTCTGATAAGGTGTTTAGATGTTACGTGAGCAAAAGAAAAAAGAAGCAGCTCCTCTCAGTCTTCACGTTATAGCTCGTTAAGTGAAGCGTTTATAGTCCTGTTCGTTAGCTCTAATGATGTAAACTTTCTCACACACGTGCCTTAAACCGGCGAGCTGCTTCGTCGCCGGCTTCAAACACATTCTCTTAAAGAGATACCTTGATGTTGGACCTGCTTCCCTCAGCTCTCTTGTAGAGCTGCTTCCAGGCCTGAGAAAAAATGGCGTTTCAATGTTTCTCAGAGTTCGTCAAGCTCGTAACGACTGCGCGGACCCTCCACCTCATTGGTTTCCTTATAAAACCCTCAGCAGCTACGATGGCGCCCTCATCACTACCAGCCTTCACGTTAGAGCTCGTACCAAACTCGTAGCCCAAGCATTCAGACTACCTCAGGTTCTTTTATAGTTTCTCGCCTGCTTCATATGTTCAAGGGGAGCATCCCAGCATGCATTAGGGTAGGAGGCCAGTCCATAAACGCACATACATGGATGCCAAGCATGTGGAGTTAAACCGTTAAAACACGCCTTCTCCCCAACTCCTACAAACTGGATTTGTTAGGAACTACTTTTAGTGGCGGATTGATCCGTATATAGGGGTGTTTAGGGCAGCGTGATATTGACACCTGCACTTTCTGAAACATTGACTGAGGTGAGATCAGAAAGTTCCAGCACAGCTGCTCGGGAGACGGGCACCAGCTGACCTCCAGCGTCCAGCGTTGATTTCTCAAAGTGGACAAAGTCAGGCGGAGGGATCTGAGGGGTTCAGGAGGTGAGCAAAGATTATGAATCACCTGGTGCAGGTGAGGGATAAATTCACGGTTTGCAACTTGATGAATGTGGAGAACCTGACGGACTTCACCTGCTGAGCCTCTCAGGAAGTCTGGAGTCTTCGTCTGGTTCGTAGAGCGAACGCTCGCCATCCGTGATGGTCCGAGTGCGACTCCGTAGCTCCAAGCTCTTTAATGTGAAACCAGGTTTCTGGTCCTTTGACGGGCCAGTATCTGGGACTTTCTGATCACCTCGAGCGCTCGAGTCGTCTCCACCCCGACCTCGTTACATCTCGTTGTGAGAGCGGCTCTCTCCTTTGCACCGCTCTCCGATACGACAGTCGTGGACTTTAAGCGTCGGACCTGTTAGTTCGGTTTCTGTTCGATTCAGTCGTGTTTAGGAAAAAGCTCCACCAAAGACTGCGAAACGGATCCTTCATCACTTCATCATCATCATCCTGTCATTTAAAGCGCTACATAAAACCCAAGCATCAAGGTATCCCTTTAAGTCGCCTTTTCTTGTTTGTTTTCTGCCACAGACGTTGGTTCAGATTTGCACACCTACTGTACACACTCGCTTTTCCTCGTTTCCTTCCTTCCCGAGTAGTCGAATCAACTACGACACCGAAATTAAGTGGTGCTGTTTGCTTAGTTTTGTTGCCATATTATTGTTGTTGTTATTGTTGTTGTTGTTCATTTCATCGCCATCACGCGTCGAGAGGAAAAGTTCCTCGTAGCCGACCTAATTTTCCTGAGAATTTTAAGAAAGTCTATTTTAATTAAAAGAAACCGTCGGCTTGTTTATGAAAATATGTGCAGGATCTTTTTCCTCCTGATTTATTCGACTGTTGGCTTCACGTGAGGCAAATGAGTACGCGAGTAGAGATGTACACACTCAGTCGGTCGTAGCTGGGCAGACGCACCAAAGTACTCGACCGGGACTTTTCCGTAACCTCTGTCGGAGTTTTAGGACTTCAGGATTTTCTTCTTCACTCGTGGGGAAAATGAGCAGTAACCAGGAGACGATGGTGAATAACACAAAGTCATATTCCCCTTCATGCAGTAACAACAGTGAGAACAGGGTAACTACTGTACATAATGGCTCTGCTACTTCCTGTCACCTTTATTTATTGCAGGTGAGGCGCTTCAGAGGGAACGAGTTCATACAACCTCCAAACGTTTCCAAAAGACGCACGTTCTCTCGGTTTTATCGTCGTGCAGACGCGGCGAGTCTTTTCAGGCTTTACACTCAATTTTACAGAAGAAACGTGACAGAAGTGGTCGTGTGAAAGTTTCCACCTGCACCTTTAGCTTTTGGCGAGCTGTACCGCTTACTTTAACGCACAACGACGACGTTATCAAAGGGGGACCGATTCTGCTCATTTCCTTTATTTTTATTCTTCAACTCTACCAGAGCAGCTTTGCATGACTCATAGCTCAAAATAATCCTTCTTTTTATTAAACTGGGCTTTAACTTTATCGTATGTCTAAAACAAGCTGTTTTAGCTCCAGTGTCTTTAAGGAAACCCTCCTGAAAAGCTCCTCCTGAGGGGCAGCAGCCAGTAAAGCCTACAGTAGAGGGGCGTGTGTGCAGATGACCCCTTAAAAGCACCCCAGGAGTAACCGATGAAGACGAGGTCACATTTCAAAATGACTGGGTTTGCATCAAATGTTAGCGAGGGTGGTCTTTGCATGTTCAGATATTCTTGGAAGAACCCGGAAGTCTTTATCGATTAATACTGAGGTGCTAGAACTTGTCACTAAGGGTACATTCGCTGCCAAAAAGCAGGTGTTTGAAGCGCAGTTAACTTCACAAAACGTTCTTCTTCTTCACAAAATCGCTTTACTCGCCATTATGTCATCCTGACCTTTGAATCGACTCGTCTTCCTCTGTCGTAGGACCTCGTTCACTTTGATTCACCTCAGCTTCTCGCTGGGCGCCTCCCAGTCAAACCATAACTCCACTGGACCAGTTTTCTCTTTAATCTCTTAAATCTGTTTTTATTTTTAGCTGCATTTATTGTTGACGAGTCAAAGTCGGGTGAAGGGAGGTCTTCTAGTTTAGAGCTGGAGAATCAGGTGAACCCAGTGTGCGACCAGGTTTTCTCCTGGTTATTTAAACTGAGTTTGTTAAAGTTTCTTTAGGTATAATTTCAGTTTTTTTCTTTTCCCATTTGATCTTAAATTTTCCAATGTTTACATTTTGTTATGCATGTTCAGCAGATCTTATATCCAGTGTTTTGCACACTACTCCAGCATCAAGACTCAAGCGGCACTGCTCATTTCTGTAAAGTTCTTCAAATTTAAGTGCCTGATACTTTGGATTGGAGTTGATACTTGCAGGCGAATGAGCTCATTGGCCTTCACAACGTTGACTTGAACAACGGCTCCTGCAGTCGGATGGCGTTTCTTTGACCTGTTGGGTGAAATGAGTTGGAGGCAGGACGCTCGCTCAGCTCCGTCTGTCGGAGCAAACTGGACCTAACGAGGACGCCGAGTAGCCGGACGGACATTCATGAAGAAAAATGATCAAATCTTTTTTAAAAGGTGCTGCACGCCACATTTTAACATCTGAAGTTGCTGCATCGATGTGACTGTTAGAAAGAGAGAAAGCTTTCCTCTGGCTTCTATATCAGTGTCAAAAAATTAGCTACATGTCAGATGCTCCTAAACTATTTTAATCAATTCTGTATTTTTGAATAAATATTGAATGTTTGGCCGAATAAAGTGTTTCAAAAAAATATTAGAAATTTTTTAAACGGAGTTAGAATTCAGCAGATTTTTTAAAAAAAAAACTGGGACGTTGTTGTTTCTACTTATGTGATTTTCTTTATTTCCTGCTGCACATCTGCTCCAGGTTCAAATGTTGGTCTACGTTCGAGTCCTCCTGGCTCTGTATGACATCACAGAGAGGGGATTTCCCGTGTATGGTCCTCTTTGGCAGAGAGATTAAATGTTTCCAGGTGTTAAAAATGCTGCTTGTGGCACCTTTAAAAACTCTTGGATGTTACACACTGACGAATGTCTCACTCACATCTGCCTGTGATCTCATTTTTAAATCACCTGACACGTTTTTGTTTTCATGATTTTTGTCCCGTTTTGTTTTTGTTTGTTTTCCCCATGGAAACGAACCCTGGATCAGAAGCATCTCGTGTTTTTTTTTCTCTACAAACTGAGTTGAACTTTTGGTCTCAGTCAACCGGAGAGAACGAACGCTTCCCCGAGATGTTTGATTTGAACTGCAGGAGTTTGTTTTTGAACCCTCTCGATTGATTATGTTAAACAGAACTTTCTTTTTGTTTCTGTAAACAGCTAGCAGTGTCAGGTACCATTCCATTTTAACACTGTATATTTATAATAAAAGTAATCTGTTAATAATCCCTTTGTAATGTTTCCTCCAGTATTCACGATGTTCCTTCACACGAGGACGG